TCGTGTAGGATGAAATTGTTAATTTTTAAATCTATCATTTAAACAAAGTAGATGGACAAATGCACATCATAAACAGTCTGTGCTTGCTTTACTGCTTCTGACTGACCTCTCACTCCAATGCAGCATCTCAGCTGGATTATTAGACTATCCATTTTTCTGGAAATGTCTGTCTCATTCATTATAATGTTAATACTGCAGTTGTCTGACCAACTACTGCTGGTTTCTTTGTTTAGGGAAATGCTCTAATGATTTCTTTTAAAACAAATCCAAAATAGGTCTTTCTCCATGTTCCTATTAATAGGTAATTATGATTTACAGATGCCCCTCAAAAATGAGGATACAGAATGGGGAACTGAAGCTCTACTGGGAAGAAAGTGCATGCCAAGCTTACTAATTCAAATAGCAAGTCTTATGACTTTCTTATAATGTTTAGAGCATTCTAGTTGCAACACAAACACTCTTATTTATTGAAGTTTGTTAATTTTCTTCTATTTTTTACTAGGGAAATGTTTAACTTTAGGGTTTGATTAATATGTTTTTATTATGTTATTTTTCTCAGGTCATGCACAGATTGTCCATCTTTTGTTAGAGAGAAATAAGTTTGGAACTATCCCATCTGATAGTCAAGGTGCAACACCGCTACATTATGCAGCACAGAGCAACTTTGCTGTAAGTAGTACAGGTCCTAAATATAAAGTAAATATATTTTGCTGTAATATTTATGGCATAACTTATTCTGTATTGTAGTTATGCTGTACAAAATGTTCCATTTTTAAAAATAATATAAACAGTCTACATAAGCTTAATTCAGGATTTTCCTAAGTTAGACAGTACAAACGTGGTTGATTTCAAACTATTAAAATATAAAATAGATTTTTAAAATTGTCACTTTATAAACAGTGTCGTCAATCTATATTTTTGCATCAGTGTGCACAATAATAATTTAGAAATTTTAATAGAAAGGAGAATGGTACCTGTCCTTCTACAGTGCATTTCCTTTTTAAGCCTGGTTATAGCAAAATCTAAGAACTTGCAAGGTATCTAGAGGGAGAGCACCCTGGGTATTTGTACAGCTGCTTATATCTTTAATATCAGCCAAACCAGTCTTTGACTTCAAAGAGTATTTTAGTTATTAATATTTGCTTTTATAAATGTAGCCCTTTTCTCATAAAGCATGGTTAAAGAGCAAGTACCTTCTGTCACGTTTCCTCGTGAACACTATATTTTTAAAAGCGCAGTATTCAATATCAGTGGGATAGCCATTCCAGGCAAAAAGAAAATTGGTTTCTCAGATGAACTAATTCTAATGTTTTAGTAGAATATATAATTTTGTCCAGAGCCAGTTGAGATACAGAACAGCTAAGCACAAAATCTAGCATTTTAATGGTTGCTGGTCATAGATAAGTAGTAAGAACTATATAGATAAGTAGTTCTCAAGCAGCTGAGAATGATAAGAAGGCGTTTTTCATGTTCCTTCTTCTCTCATAGTTGAATTATGCTATGTACAGTAAGTTGAGAACTCTGTTTTAATATCTCTCTCTTCAGCTGTCCAGTGAAGGGGCTGTCCAGTTAACGTAGCTGAGCTCATATTGTAGCCTGCTCTTCAACAGGGACGCTAATTTGGGTCTCACTTGTCTACCCACGTGTTAAATTTCATAAAACTAGTAAAATTGAAAAATCTATGATACCTAAAGCATTTAAGTTATAAAAGCCTACCTTTCTAGTTGGAGTCACATTTATGGGAAAGACAGAATATTTTTTTATTTACAATCTAGTGATTATCTCAGTACGCTTTTATCTTTTTTTTTTTCTTTTCTGTATTGATATATTCCTACAAAGTTATTTTTCATACTGAGTTTCTTTCCCTGGGCTTGATTCCGTTGTATGAAACATCTTCATTTTGTTACTGCCTTTTAATCCTGACAGCCAACCAAATCATGACGTCTTTCAGGTTTTTGTGGGGGAAGCAGAGTAGGTGATGGAATCAAGCATTCTTTTGTATTCTTGTGTGCTTACAGTGGATGTAGTGTTTCCCGTATTATGTGAAAAGACAAACGGAAGAGTCTCATTCAGATCTGGGGGCTTCTTTTAGCTGATGATCTGAAGATTCCTGTCTCCAGGTTTCCCTCAAGGGCACCTACTATGCAGACCTAAATTGTCTGGAGCTGCTCTCTCTTTTCCCACCCTGGTTGTTTCATGCACCTCTATTTGATTTTTTTCTTTATTCCTTGCATACAAATCCCTGAGCAATTCCCACCACTGCATTCCCATATGTATAATTCAAACCACTGAGTAGACATATCCATATTTGTTTTGGCAGTGGCATTTATATATCTATGGTTTGAGAGCCACATTACTGTTCTGTACAAATTGCCCAAGTTCTGGGTAGGTGTCATATGCTTCTCAATTGAAATGAGATGTTTCCTAGTCCATAGCAAGAAGAAGGAAGTTTGATCTTTTGCGTTCATTATAAATGCTTTGGTTGCTCTCAGTTTTATGTAACTTCATACCTTATTCTTTGTCCTTTTTTGTTTGGTTGGTTTTTGTTGTGTTTGTTTTTAAGACTGACGAGACTTAGCTAGCACTTAATTTAGGTGAAGCACGTGTTTTCTAGACTGATGTTTCCCCACTCTTATATAAGGCTTATGAATCCCACAGAAGGTCCAAAAAACTATCCATTTGTCTTTTGAACTTCATCAGTGAAGGCAAGTGCTCTATTAGTATTGATTTTAAAGTGCAGATTAGTAAATATTTTTTGACTTATGTCTTTTGAAATTTTCCATTATTTTGCTACTATTTTTCTGAAACGTCCAAGGCAATGCATTTCACGTATTTGTATAGATTGACCTAGTAAATGAAATGTGAATTTCTATGTCGTCTTTTTGGATTTTTAGTATTTTTCAGTTTCTTGGTAGCATTGAATGAAAGGATCCAGGTGTTGTTGTTTTTCAGCCTTGTTGTTTTATCTTTGTTTTCTCAATTTTTATAAAGGTAGAAGAAGCAGTTTCTCATGAGAAAATACATGTGGAATTGAAGTGAATAATACTTGGGTTTTTTTTGTTTCTGATCTCTTAATCATTCAATTCTAATTTCATTTATTTTTGTTCTCAAGTTGTAGTACCTTTATTTTGAAAAATAACTCTTGCGGCAGTGTGAGATTTTCTTCGGATTTTTTCCCATTAAAAAGACTGGAAAAAAGAGTGCTTAAAAGAAGGGTTGATTCGTTAAAACTTAATGGAAAAATAAAATTACTTATTTATGTTTGCAGGACTCATGCCTTACTATTAAAAGGTCCAGCCTTCATACTGCTTTTCACTTCACAGGATTTCAAGCAGTGCGGAGTTCTGGTAGGGTGCTGATTTGTTGGCCTAATGAGTAGCCATTTGTATCAGAGGTAGCGGGGGTCAATGTGAGTACAACACGTGCCGTTTGATGTGGAAGACTTGATGCTTCTTTTCCTTATTATTTCTATCTGGACCTTTTTACAATAAATTGATATTTTGGATATGGACCCAAATTAACAAAAATGTTAGGTGTTTAAATTCAACTAATAAACAGGACATAGGCTCTTAAAAACCTTTGTGAGTCCAGGCTGAGTATTTGAGTGAGCTTTATTGCAGCCAAGGAATTCTCTACCAGCACAGTGGTAGAGCTCTTTTGG